TGTTTATAGATCCTGTACGTGCCATGCATGTTTGGTATTTTGCATCCGTCTAATTTCAAACATCCATGTTATAAAATAATGGCTGTGATGGGCGTAATCGATATATTGACACTCACAATCGGTATCATATCGGGTTACTTCTCGTTGGTTGGTGGATCTGTCTGTAATTCGACGACATTTATGATTATTTGTGGCAATTGTGTTATGGGTGAGTAATATGCGTACTTTCGTGAAATTATATTGCGTCACAGTCACTGAGTTGAAGTTTAGCTGTTCAGTTATAAACAAAATACTTTTACATAAAGCGCTTGTAAACTAAAATCGAATTATTTCAATGCCGATTGTTGTGTTCACTTACGGCAGCGTAACAAAATAATGATCAGTCTGAAAAGGATGAAAACTCTTAACTGATTTTCACACTTCACATCGAATCTACCATCAGTGGTCGTATCCGGCAATCTTTTCAATTCAGGTTTCTGGTCAACATATTGTGGTGTTTCCATCTATCTTGGAATTAATCGTTGCGGTGACGTGTATGGATCGCCGCTCATGGACGTATGCTGTTGAGAGGAGTTTTCTAGTTTTGGTGGTTTTGAAAATGGATTTTTCATTTTCAGCACAATACGAATGTTGGAAATGAGAGCATCAAATTTAGGAAATATTCCTCAACTTATCAAGTCCTACCACTTCCACATGATTATATGATCTAAGTCGGTAAAATTCCCATTGATTTTCATAGCATTAACTGAAAACACCGTATCGAATCATTGCATACGCATGCATCACATTGATCGTGCTATCTTCTGTTATTATTTTCAGGTGCTATTCAAAGGATATCGAACATGGTTATTTATGCTCATTCCATTATCATTAGGCTTATCAGTTATGTTATTTGGTCCAACAATGTATTACAATGGTAATCGTGGTACATGGTTTTTCGATGCTGATATCAATGACTCTCATGTTGGTTCACTTGCGAACGAAGATATTTTCTCCTTCGCAATTCATTTTTTTTTTCATATGTTTTAAAAGGATGATTCGTTTCAAACAAAAAAAANAAAAAAAAGAAAACATTTCTGTGCTGAAAGAGTGGTGGTCTGCAGAAGTTTCATTCACGAGAAACCTTTACTGGTGTGAATTAAAATGAACTAATTTAATTGAAATCAATTGGTTAGGAAACTTTTAAATGAATGAAACTTCAGGCCGCATTACTAACGCAGATTAAATGTTGCATACGCTTCAAAGCATTCTTAATCCAGCATGAATTAGTTCATTAATTCTGATGTTCGCCAAAACGAGCGATTTCTTCCTCCCATTATTGATCAGTATTTGTGATTCTTTGAGCATTTGCAAATAGGGAATTGTCACTTGGTGGCTAAACCATACTCGAGGGAATAATGAAATGAAGTGATTGAACAAACAATTAAAACACTTAATGGTTATTTTATGATAATTGCAACATAGGTACGTGTCTTCTGTGAACAGAAACTAAGATACCCGTTTTATAACGTTGCTGCACCTGTAACCATTGGCGGTGATACGCTATAATTGCATGGGTGATTTTCAGACAGGTAATACACTTCATTTGTTGATTAACACTTTATCAACACTGGTGATTCTATCGCAGTACGCAGCAATATCGATCCGACTGTGGAAGATGGCATATTCGATCAAAACTCCCAGGAAGTTATCGCCAGCTGCAAGAAATGTACTTCACATTTCCTTATTCATTCCTACTCCTGCCTTAAAGTGACCACCTTTGAGTGTTGAGTGAAAAAAATGCTTGGGCTCCTTCAAACAATTCAAAAAATCTCCTACTTTCTCAGATTATTCGTTCAACGTTTGAAGGTTCTGCTGCAAACATTTCTTGTATCAGTACCATTGCTGGTCGCATCAACACTGTTTATCATGATTCAGTTCATCGCATTTCCCCGTGCTCTTACTATCGCACTCCAAATAATCTGGCAATCATGCCATGGTGAGTCAATCATTTTATTTCACAATGATCATTTCGTGACTGCTTGAAGTTGAAAAGCTTATTGAGACTTGCACTATTCAACTTGAATTACTTTCTCGGAATAGATCAACTTCAATGAGACTTTGAAATTGTGCATTCAGTTGTGGTCATGTGAAAGCTTTCAGTAGTCGGTTTCAGGGGGGATGGCTGTCATACGTCTTGTATTCAATAGTACAATGCGTATGAAAGTGGTCGAGTTCATTTCTGATCAAAGGCGAAGAGGTGCATTAATATTTTCAATTCTTGAATGTTTTCTGCAAAATACTACCAAACAACACGAGTAATTAGAGCGAATACAAAGGCGAAATATTTACATGAAAATCATCCGGCATCATCTTAATTCTTAGCTGCAGTCTACTGGAAACTTTTAGTTGCATTCACAAAAATTGAAGCCTTTGCTCGGATATTTGCGAGAAAACTTTTTAGCTGGTCATTTTCGCCACACATATTTTTTTCTTGAATCATCGACATAACTGCTTTTAACATGCAACTGGCTGAAAAAAATTATTGAAAGAAACTTCCATGTGGTAATCGAGAGTTTAGCAGTATCAGTTCTAGTGGAATCTCAATGGAATACACCATCTAAGCGCTGAATTCATTATTACTGCATGTTGTTCCGGTTAAAAAAACTAGACTCTCATGTTCAACCATTTGTTTCACTTTGATATGGAGAATTTCTGAACTGATTTTCTTCTCATTTTATTCCACTCAATTTAGGAGAAATACTCAAACACACAATTTCGAAGCCAAACCGGCATATAATTACCAAAAAAAATGCCGTCTATTCGTTACCCTTTGTTCTAACGAGGACCACCGTTATGAATGGATTGAGTAATGTGATTTGAAATTGCGACTGAAGAGCTGATGACTAACTAGAATTCAATTAAGTAGATAATCACGCTGAATAATGTTCAGTGATGCAAGGATGGCGACGAGTGACCATCATCAACCAACCGGAGCGAAGCTTATCGATCAAAACGAGGTCAGAACATCGTTTGGCAACAACGAATGACACCAGAAGAGGGCCATATAGAGTATTCGTTGTGCACGCATAGCGAGATTGATGCTGCTCGTCAATGTGTCAACCACAAAAAAAAATCGTTCTGGCTAGATGAAAACTCCCAGAAGCAAAAAATTCTACCAAACACTTAGCTGAACGATACGTTTATTGGTCATTAGATCCAACCTAACAAGCACTTAACTGATTGCAAGTTGACGTATATATCGCCAACGGCATCCACAGCTCGCTCTTGAAATCTCAACCAATCAGATAAGGTCTAATGCGAGCTATTCAAACATGCCTTGTCCAGTTTTGATGCGATAGCTTACGGTCGCAAATATATTCGTGAATAATTATCAGTTAGATATTGGATACATTGTGCAGGTTCGTGAAGAACTGACGAAGCAAACGACCGATGTTACTCGTTGGTTGGATTGAGTCGCAACACAACAAACTGTTGAAAATACAAAATATGAATGTGCATTTGCATATTCACATCTGAAAAGAACGGATTAGCAAATTGAATCGAAAAATCTTTCGCAATTGCCATGACTATTGTAGCTCCACATTTTTGAAAACAACTTCAATACGTTGTGTTCAGCATTAATTCAATACGTTGTGTTCATCTTATTAATTACACTTTATTAATATAAAATTCAGTTATACGATTTTTTTGATCAGTTAGCCGTATTGTACTTCGTTCCGTCCGTATTCTCGTGAACACAATATCCATGTAATTAGGCTATGAGTATGTATCTTCATAAACATATCCGTGCAAAAACATGCATGTAATTACAATATCCATGTAATCACGCCATGTGTTTCTTTTTGTTCATAAAGAATTGGAACGCATTCATTTGAGTGCTGAGTCTGTTCTCGTAAAGCGTTGAATATAGGGAAATGAATCGGAAAAATACAAACGCAGGAAGTTTTACGGTGAAAGAAACGGTAATTTCTTAAATTATATCTTCATCCATACAATCATCGGCTAAAATACATAGCCACAATAATGCTACAATTATCAACGCTTTATTGTTTCACTGCCTTACAGTGAAGCACTCGTTACGCTAGGGAGATTGACTCATAAGTTCAGTCTCGCTGATATCACTAAGAAAAGTGATGTGTTTGACTTGTCGATATGAAAAGGTGTTTCATTTGAGACGACAGTGAAACTGTAGAATTTTAATGAATCATTAAAACGCTAAAAACTCATCAATCAGTTTAATTGTCATCATATGATAGTCATTATCATTATCACTAGTCATGCATTAGATATCATCATCGGAAGACACTAGTGATGCTTGATCGAACGTAACAGTTTAATCGAATGGGAAATTGTGATCAAATCTCCTCGTGGAAACGCTTCGATCGTTTTGTGCACATGTTATGCTGCCAGTAAATCAGAGTTTTCGTTCTGAAAGCTCTCTGGCATCGTTTCTATCGAGGAAAAGGTGACTTAATAAACCAGAACTGTGAACACAGCAAAAAATTCAATCTAAAAAGAAATGTTGCAAACGGAATTATTGAGCGCCACAATGTGTTAAGACACGTATGGTATGAGTTATGTTGACGTTTCGTAAATATCACGAATATCACAAAGAACACCTTCAATTTCACATGTGGTTTTGGATTATCATTAGTTGGCTGTTGGCTTGAAAGTTGAATGCATTGACACTGATCATTTGAACGTTAGGGCATCAATCAGAGATGGACTTATTTGTTTGCTTGTGGACGTTGACTAGTTTGAGTGCAGTCATAGTTCAACAGATTCCTTTGATGAACACACTTCACGTGACATACGGCTTTGAAATTTGCTATTTTGATTGTTTTCATTTCCTTTATTGTTTAGTCTTAATTGTAAATCCCTCATTTATGTCGCGCAGCAAATGTATATGTAACACATTTGATTTCATTGTTTACTAATTCTTGTCGGAAAATAAATTAACGGTCATTTCAATCTTTCATAATGTTGACATTGTTGATCTTATTTATCAGTGTTCTTTTCGCTCCATCAGCTGTTGTTTTATGTATCTGTTCCACTCGACCGATTTCTAATTTTACCGTATTCGCTTTCCTATAATTTAGTTCTTCTGTCGACAGGTGTGTTATGGTGTTCCTCTGATCGCTTCTCACTTCGTTCCGACATCGATCGCAAACGAACCATCGAATCAGTGAACCTCAAGGCACGAACACTGAAAACGACTACGTTGAATTTTCCGTCGTTTCTCTAAGAAGATAGCTTAAATGTACAACGAACGCATCATCTGTGCACTCAACGATAATTGGTTTAATTCTGATTGAGTGGTGTAAATGAACGATCCGAAGAGGTAATTTCATATGGATGGGAAATGTTGCTGAATGAATGAGTGATTGCGATCCGTTGAAATTGAGCAAACTAAAAGAATAAGATGGGCATGAACATAGAAATATGATCAACGATTTTACTGAAATTAAAAGAGTGAAGGCTCGAGAATCTAAATTCGGGCTCATGAGAGCACTGAAAGGATGGATGAAAGGATGAATCCTCAGATGCGCTTTGGTTCAATGCACACTGCATTAAAAACGAGAAAGAAAGCATTCTCTAGCAAGAAGCTGCAACAAAGAATAGAAGAATTCCGTTCGGTGTTTTTCCGTCAAAACCGGCAAAATTTCGAAGTGTAACATCTTCAGTGTCAAAGAATCTGTCCAAAAACGGCGTTCTGATGTCAAAAGAATTGTTGACGTTTACAATCGCACGTCAAAAAGCCGTACTGCAACCAACCGAAATTGTCGATCGTTCAGTCCATAGATGATCGGATTCCAAACCACAGATAACTTAGCAAAGCAGACACTCGTCAGAATGTATTTCCTTGATGGAATTTCGTTAGCCACGAATTGCCAGACGACAGCCAACTGAAAACGACAATTTGTTTTCGAAGACAAACACACATTTGCAATCGCTCATTGCCACTTGAGACAGGTTTTGAAAGCGAAGCTGCAAAGTGCGCATTTCTCACACGGATTCGTTGAGAAAATCGAGTTAGGCGAGATTGGCTGCAGTGCTGCAATTTAATTCAGTCAGTATAACTTTCGTTCGAACTATTATACTTAAGATTTCCGCCAGTGTAGACGTTAGAATCAAGATTGATGTGTGTGTGTGCATGAGAAGAGCATTTCCATTTCAGACATGGATATGGATAATTGAAACTTTCAATGAATTGTTAAGTTGTTAACTAGTAACATAGCGATTGGTAACATGAGTAAAATGAGTGGAAAAAATTTGGCTAAGGCCATGTCACCATGAATAAGATATGAACACGCAAACAAACAAATATCTTATTGACTGTAGTGTCCTTAAAATATTGGTAATAATAACAATAATTCACAATTGCAACAATAACAACAATAGTAACAACGGCAGCACAAATAGGAATGGCCTACGATAGCATATGGAGTCCACGAGACCATAAACGTTAAAACGGCTACGAGCACTATGCGCGTTAGATTTCCTTGGAACATTCGATCTCTCTGCTCAAAAAGTCGACTGCGCGACTGCGGCGTCTGAATATTCCATGAAAAATCATTGATTACTATTGAACAAATGCTACATATAATCCTTGAAATCATTGAACAGTTCTGGAATTTTTTTAAAATGAAACGTTGTTACGGTCCGCAGTACCGTAACACTCCACTCGTAGCTGTAGTCAGGCAAACGGCACTATCGAGCATCATCAATCCGTCCAGCAAAATTTGACGTATGAAGAGGTAATAATTTAAAGAGCTGAGCATATCATATCGCAGATTGTAAAACCATCATACACATCAAATTTGCAAATGCTGACCGATCACTTGCAAAGGAAGAGATCAGCCAGAGTGCACTGCACTAAAAGAAGGCGGCAGACTTTAGGTAATGGAATCAACCTCAAGCCTTTGTCAAGTTGATCTGTTTTCTTCAACAAATCTTGGCTATACGCTCATAATAATAGGATCGTGGAAAATTCAACGAGAATAAATCAACGAGGTAAGGGAATCAGCGATTGAATGGTGATAAACTTGATCGGTTGAAGTGCTGCGGACATTGGTGCACGGCAAAAGAACAGCCGTACGATAAATGTTGATATAGCAAACAATGATAATAACGGCTGGAATCACATAAGCACTCATGAAAAGCATCAGCAAATATGTGCGCGAATTCAAGTCTTTACTCACGTAGTCGAATCTGCAATTGATAAAATGTCCACAGAAGTGGAATGAATAAAATAAGTGGAATTGTTTTTGCTTGGAACGTTCCATACGAAAATTTCAAGTCGATAAACCCAAGTCGTCGTTTTCGAAAGGCAATAAACTTCGGTTAATTCAATGCAGCATTTGTTGTCTTAGAAAACTTGCTTCAATTCAATTCAATTGTTGCTTCAATTCAGTCACTCAATTCGTCGCATTGAATCACACAAGAAACAAAACCAGAGAACATTAATGACCGTTTTCGGTTTGAAACCGAGACTGGTTCGACTGAATCAACAAGCTTACGTGCAGTATCCGCCTTCTTTATCGATGATCACATATTGACTCCAGCCGATCAACGGTGGATACGTGGTCATTAGTGTGCACAGAATTGTTAATGCAACGGCTAACAGCTTATGCTGTATGGTGCATCTTCGAAGTGAAAATGGATGAACGGTCGCCAAGTAGCGCTCTTAAAAACACTTGTCAGAGATTCACTGCTTGGAGTTACTGAATTAAACAAACACCAATACATTCAACCATTAATTCTACTGTCAACAATTCTGCCGTTTCTATCATTATACCATTTTATTACACGAATGGCAATTTGTATATTACATCACGATCATTTTCAATCCCAAAATATCTTTCACATTTGACAAAAGTCATCGATTCTGCGATAAATCAAATCGAAAATTTCAGTTCTGGAAGCACCTACCAAATGAGAGAAGTGCCAATAGATGAATTGTGCCCACTGAGAGTGTAGAAAGTGCGAATCCATTCAGATTGCACACTGAAACATTTCGAATTATGATTCGAGCTTTTGATAACTGATCGAATATTGATTCCATGCAACAGCAGCTCTTGTAAACATTGTTATTTGGTCGCTGTCATAGTGCGATGTGAACTTTTCATTTTTAGAAAGCAGAGATTCTGCTCGATCGAATGATGTACAAACATCAATATGTTTCCGGGCAAACTTGAGAAGACGGT